CCGCGGCGTTACGAATCTGCCGGGTCGGGCTAGGCCGGTGCCTTCAGGCCCACGGCATGACCAAGTTGGGTCAAGGCCAATGCCCAACAAAAACAGGCAAGACTCGCGTCCAAAGACTATGCAAACAGATCAGTTTAGCGGCTGACAGATCACCAACAAAGATCTGTTCAGGCCGGTGCAGCATCAGCAGATCTTCAAAGCAAATCAGGTCATGACAGCGCTCGTAGGTTATCAGCGGGGACTTGGTCCGGTCGGGTCCTGTAAAACATTCACACAAGAGCACTCTCATACCAGCGTGCTCAGTCCGGGTCACGACCTGATATCATTAGCACGGGTTTGCCACGGAGGCGGGCCCGACGGTGAGATTCGGCTGGAACGGACCTGGGACCGGCCATTCAGTCGTCCATTACCAGCTGTGGTTGGTGTGGAGGGTTCCCGTGCCAGGTGGCCGAATCGAACCGACATCAACTCGGGCTGGCTGTTACTACCACCAGCAATCGTTTTAACCACTGGTTTTACTTCGATTACCGGGTCCGTCTGTATGGATTGTTCCTCCTTCTCCAGAGCAAAACACGGGATTAATAGATGAACATTAATGACATAGGTTACGGCACTAACACAGGTAATGAAATAACTATGATTACCAAATGATCGGAAATGATGAAGGCTACGGCACTAACACGGGTAATTAAATCACTAATTGGCGGTCATAGGGATACACAGCAATACATCTTCATAGACAGCGGGACCTCTCAGTTTGTCCAGGCTTTTATGTACACCTAATCCCTGCCACTGACCAAATCGGTTAATTCACAGCGGCTGACAGCGAGGTCTCACACGTGGCGGTCAGGTTCAAGGTTCTTGCACCCTGGGTGCTGGCGACCGGTGCCGAGTCAGTACCGGAGGGGTACTCGAGCAGTACGCGGTACGATGACGGCACTTGGCTGGTACCGCGAACTGCTGGCATTCACCGGGCACGTTGCGCGCCGCCACCAGTGCCGATGACAGCCGAGAGCCGCCAGCTCCATGCCAGCACCCCTGCATCGGGGTTGGCGCCAGTTTTTAAACAATGCTTTACATCGCCCGTCGACAGATAGGGCGTGTGAGCTTCCTGTAAGCTACGTGTGCCGCTCAGTCTCAGGTCTCCAGGTGCGGCGCCGGCCCGCCGGCTTCGACGGAAGAGGGAGGGGAGGCGTCTGCTTCACACGTGGGCCGCCGCTCCCCGCCGCTCAGCCTCCCGTGACGAGCCGGCGTGCAGGCCGGCGAGGGTGGGAGGCTGAGGGGGAGGGGGCGGAGGGGAGGGAGAGTCACCGACAAGGTTGACCAGGCCGGCCCGCAGCGGCGGCCTGATGGGCAGACGATCGGGATTCAGCCCGTGTGAGCAGCGGAGCGCGCCTACATGTCTGCCAGATCGACTGCGACAGGGCAGTCGTCAGCGCTGCCAGACGTGACCAGCCGGTCAACGGTGCTACCAGATGCAACCGGCCTGTCAGCAGTGCTGCCAGTCTTCACCGGCCGGTCAGCAGTGCTGCCAGACGTGACCGGCCGCTTAGCAGCGCTGCCAGACGCGACCAGCCAGTCAGCAGTGTTGCCAGACGTGACCAGCCGGTCAGCAGTGTTGCCAGACGTGACCAGCCAGTCAGCAGTGTTGCCAGACGTGACCAGCCGGTCAGCAGTGTTGCCAGACGTGACCAGCCGGTCAGTAGCGCTGCCAGACGTGACCGACCGGTCAACAGTGCTGCCAGCCGTGACTGGCCGGCCAGCAGTGCTACCAGACGTGATCAGCCAATCAGCAGTGTTGCCAGACGTGACCGACCGGTCAGCAGTGTTGCCAGACTTGACTGGCCAGTCAGCAGTGCTGCAGATAAGACCAGTGCTGACAGCGTTACCCAGCCGGTCCTGCTGTGACGGTCGGGGCGGTTGTCTTGTCCTGTCGGACAGTTGTCCTGTTGTCCTGATGGTCCCGCTTTGTGTGGGTTCCAACGGCTGCGGCCTCTTCCGACAGCCTTGACGGCTCGTCAAGTCCAGACAGTCTGGTCTGCTGTCAAACGGGTCTCGCCTTAGCGTGAGTGAGGTTGTGTCATGCTTTCATTACGCCCCGCTCTGAGCTGTCCAGTCCTGTCCTGTGCTTCATGTCCTGCGCTCCATGTCCCGCACTCCATGTCCTGTGCTCTCTGCTCTATGCTTCTCCCGTCCGCTTCCTGTCTAGTGCTCTCTAACCTGAGCTTCTTCACCTCTGCTTCTTCCCCTCTGCTCCTCCCTGCACTCGTCCCGCTCTGTGCTCCCTCCGCTGGCCTCCCCCCGTTCTCTTGTGCTCTCCCTGTGCTCTCCCTGTGCTCCCGCTCCGCTGTGTTGCCTGTCAGTCGGCGTGGGCTCGCCATCGGCCGCCGTTAGCCCGTGGCCAGCCGCTGAACAATGCCCAGCCTCATTAGCATAGCTGGAGTGGCGCGCTGCAGCGACGCCGGGAGGAATGCGTGTCGGCCTGCCGGCGGCACGTGCTTCCTCGCAGGCACGGAACGGCGGCCAACACCTCCTCCGCTCGGCAAGTCAGAGCTGTGCTTACAGAGTCAGGGCTGGTGGGCATAGCTCACTTAGTAACTCACATGCAGTTAAGCTCCTGAAAAGCCAGGGTTGTGCTCACAACGTCGAGGTGGCGTTCGTAAGTCAGGCATAAGTTCACGGAGACAGAGTGGTGATGACAATGTCCGAGCTGTGGTCAGGGGTGAGAGCTGTGCTCGCCAAGTCAGGGCTGTGCTCACCGACCAACAATATGCTCACCAACCCAGAGCCGTGGTAACCAAGTCATCGCGGTGGTCACCAGGCCCTGGATGTGCCCGCCAAGTCACGTCAGCACCCATCAAGCAGGGCAGAGCTTGGTCATAACCATGCCTGCCAAGTCAGAGCCACGCCCACTGGGTCAGGGCTGAGTTCGCTAAGTTGGGACTGTTCTCGCTAAGTAAAGTCGCGGCTCAGCACGTCAGAGGCGACTATGATACGGAGTTGTACCAGCCTAGCTACAGCGCCGATCAGCGTGTTAACACAGGACTATCAGCCATCACCAAATCTAGTCTGTGTCCATGAAGCACGGGACTGTGCTAAACGAGTTTAAAGTTAAGACTCATGAGATTAACATGACGCCCGTCGACCAAGAGATCCCCCACTCCTTCTAAGGCAGGCTACAGAGCGTGCCGACCAATTAACGGTCTCGTGCCCCGCCGCAGCTGCGTCACTCATCGGACCGATCCCCTTCATAATACCATTCAAAAGCGATGTAATCTCCATCGGTTCCAAGAGTGTTGAACAGCACAACGCTGATATGAACGAGACGTATTTTTTTGATTGAGTGGCTAGTTTGGACGCTTTGCTTAAAAGGCCAGCCTAATGTGAAGTCTCAACAGGCGCTGCAGATTTAAAATGTCTGATACTCAGTCTAATGTCGGCGTCGAATGTTCAGTCGGGAGCATGATGTCGTTGTGAGACATATGCTTGCGTGTTGCCTTAGTGCCGACTCACTCATGGGATTAATTGTGTAGGACACCCCGTGTCGACTCCGGCACGGCCAACAGCAGCGCGGATACGTCAGATCGGGGCAACAGCAGCTCGGATCTGTCATGCGTCAGATCGGACCAACAGCAGCTCGGGTCTGTCATGCGTCACGTCGGACCAACAGCAGCTCGGGTCTGTCATATGTCAGATCGGGGCTACAGCAGCTCGGGTCCGTCAAGCGTCAGACCGGGCCAATAGCAGCTCGAGTCTGTCATATGTCAAATCGGGCCAACAGCAGCTCGAGTCTGTCATATGTCAGATCGGGGCAACAGCAGTTCGAGTCTGTCATATGTCAAATCGAGCCAAAAGCGGCTCGAGTCTGCCATATGTCAGATCGGGGCTACGGCAGCTCGGGTCCGTCAAGCGTCAGACCGGGCCAACAGCAGCTCGAGTCTGTCATATGTCGGATCGGGGCTACAGCAGCTCGGGTCCGTCAAGCGTCAGATCGAGCCGCCGGCAGCTCCCACAGCTTACGGCGACAACCCCGAACCGGCTGCCGGCTCTCGCCGCCCCATCTGCCTGACCACGTCAGTGCCATCCTGGACGCCGAGGCCCGACGCCAGGCCAGCCACCACGGACTCAAAGAGCCGGAAACGTGTTCACAGGAGCGGGACAGGCTCATTGTAGAGACACTGCAGTTGGAATGTGGATTGGCCGGCTCGTCTGAACACACAAAGACCTCGGACTCGGGCCCGATTGGGGCGCGTGACGCGGATCGGCCAGTTCACTTCGCATCGCTGGTGTGCCGAATACCGCCAGCCTCTTGTTAGCGATGCCGATCAAGACCCGCTCGCTAGGCTGGCTCGTTTGTGCTGGATTGGGGCGCACCGTGCCTTAGAACTTGGCGCGAATGTGCACCTGGTTTGAGGTTCGTGAGACGCTTCATAGCTTATCGCTTATTTAAACACGGCGGAAGAAACGGAATACGGTGTTCGCAAGGGGATGTGTTGTTCATAGCTGCGATTCAGGGAATTAAGTTGCAACAAATCTACAGACAGTAAATCAAACGGACTCTACCGGAAGGTGCCCCATATCCAGACACCTGATCTAGCCATTCTACGGTACTGAGCACGTGCCTCACAGGTCGTAACTCGGCCGAACTTTCACCCATGTACAGCCCTCCGACCTTTACAAAATGCACGGCGGGCCACAATTAGAGCCGACATGGGGTGCAAATCGCCGGTGGCGTCCGGTGACCGGCCGGGGCGACACCCGACACCGGGCACCGCTGACAGACCGGGTACCGCGCCCCCCGCACAGGGGCGGACCCGGCCCGTTCACCGCACCGGCACCGGGCGACACCCACCGCGTCGGCGCCGGCTCCGCACACAAAAACCCGCCTGCTTAACCGGCCAGCCAGTTCTTACGGTCGCGCGCCGCCGTGTCGCCCCCGTGTCGCCGGCAAAAAGCGGAGGCGACCGCGGCCGGCTGGCGACGGTCCGCAGCGCACTCACCTGCTGGATGCGCTCGCGCGTCTGCAGGATCTCCATGAAGAGGTCGAGCTTGTCGCCGAACACGCTGAAGCCGGCCTGTTCCGGGCTCGGACTGGGCGGCGTGGCATGGCCGTCCGGCAGCGCGCGCCGGCCGGTGTCGCTCGCGCACGCGCTCGACGCCGAGCTCACGCCGCTCGAGTCGTCCTCGCCGCGCTCCGGCAGAATCATGGCCGTGCTGAAGCCGTAGCCGCGTCCCCGTCCACCGCCGCAGGAATCCCACCCGCCACCGCGCCGCCCGCAGCCCGCACTGAGCTCGCCGCCGGTTGCCGTCGACGGTGGCGCCGCCATCGGCCGACGGCGGAGTTGCAGCGCGACGGTCGTTACGCCGCGGGGCATCGTAGCCCCGATGGGTCGGACGGTGCGCCCCCACAACTCGCGCTCCGACCCCGCGCAGGGCAGGCTCAGGTCCTCCCGCGAACGCCGGGGACGGAGGGAGTCAGGGTAGCGAGGGTCACGGCGGAGTGGGTCAGTCTGGAGTGTGTCCGAGAGGAAAGGGTCAGGGCAGAGTGGGTCAGGGAAGAATGGATCCGGACGCAGTGGGTCGGGAGCCGCGCATCGTTCACGATGTGAGTGTGAGCCAAGCCGTTGGTGTGGGTCAAGACGCCAATTTAGGCAGGGCTGTAGGTTCAGGCGTAGCTGTGGCATGTGCGGATGCTGGTGGGGGCCAGGGCGTGGACCAGCGCCAAAGCGCGGGTGCAGATGTGGACCACGCCGGTCAGGGTGGGGCTCCGAACGTGGGCCAGTGTGCTGGCGCAGGCCTGGGCGCGAGCGGGCTTCAGCCGGCACGTGCGGGCCCGGCGGGGCAGGTCTGTCTCTGGCGTCGTCCAGGCGGGCCTTCAGCCGCCTACAGTCGCAGCGACCGCCGGCCGCGGGACAGCGCAGGCTCATCCGACAGGGCTTTTCCGGGCAGGCGAGGTACGAACACGGCTATCTTTACCGTGCTGGATGGCCTCCGGCTCCTCTCAAGCGGTCCGGGGTAGCGGCAACATCACGATATCCAAGCCGACACCTATGTCTTATGATGCGTCATCACGGAAGAATTGGCGGCATTACATCCCGCCATGCAGCTTTCAGCATGGTCTGCAACATTAATGTCTCCTTAAATGCTTTATGGTGGATTCATCCTCTGCTAAGTTTTCTGCATGCATGCATGCCTTCAATCTCTCCCAGCTCACGAAATGTCACAGCATCTTCATGTCACACGATCAGCATTGCAGCGTTCGTCGGCCGCAGCCTCATCGCCTCCCAGTATACCTACGTAGTGAAACCACATCAGAAACCCTTTTCTGATCGCCGCTGCTGTACTCTTCCCTCTTGTTGGCACCCCGGCCCCGACAGGCCATTACTGCCTCCGTGACGAACTCGGTGCACGCTACGGAACGATAATTGTGCAGCAGGTTTCTAGGCGATGTACAAACTCTTCAGAACAAGTATCCTGAGGGTTGAGCTCACTCCGATTGGTCATTTCCTTCGGTCCAGTTTATGCATGAGCTCAGGTCAAACAATAAACTTAAAACCATATTGCACTGTCCCTGCCCCAAAAAACATCGAGTTTCTGTGCGCGGAAAAACGGAAAGAACCGGCGTATACCACTGGTACTGCATTTTGACTGAATGTGTGTTGATGCATGCTAATGCATGTTATGAACACTTGTGTCGAATTGGTGTCTTGTAAAATTGCGTAAGCTAAGGATGGTCTATCGCGATCGAATTCGGTGTTAATGCATCCCGCACTGGATGCATTTCACAAGGTAACACGACATGTTATTCAGCAGAAAGGTGACCAGACCTGCGAAAAGACTACAATAAAATCCAACCGTGGAATGTAGATAAAACATCTTAAATTTTCTGATGCATGATATAGTACGGATCTAATTATCCGCTTTTGCTGACTGTTAGTCCAATACTCACCAACGTTTTCATAAAAAGCGCCCTTGATCACTCATTTCTACCCAAAAACAGGCTGAGGTAACTGAAAAAGGTCCCCAATGTACCTTGACGCCCTTTGATATCCCCGAACCGACTGCGTTCCGAAGCCGCCCAGTCGGCAGTGGTCACCACTCTCCCCACACAATCCACAGGTATCTCCGCGTCCGCAGCCAGCAGTCACCGTTCACAGCGTCGCCACCGCCCCCAGCGCGCCCCAGCCCCGTACCGCCCCCGCTGCTGCCACCTGTCGGGTCGCCCCGCCCGAGCTCCTCCGGCACGGAGCTCCTCCGACCGCACTGACCACCGCCGCCGCCGCCGCCGCCGCCGCCTCCCGTCTCTCTGATCGACGCGATGCGGCGGCGGCGGCGGCGGCGGCGGCGGCGGCGCAGACGTCCCGACCTCGTCGCCCGCTCAGGGGGCGGTGCGACTTCACAGCCAGGCGCTCAGGTCCCGCCTCATCCGCTGGGGGTACGTCGGTCACTCCAGCTGGTGCTCTACAGACACGTGAGCCACTCCAACTGGTACTCTAGGGACGCGTCGATCACTCCGGCTGATGCTATACAGACACGCCGGCCACTCCAGGTGGAGCTCTACAGACACGTCGGCCATTCCGACTGGTCCTCCATAGACACGTCTACCTCTCCGGCTGTTGCTCTTCAGACACATCGACGACTCCTATGGATTCCCTTCGAACGCCTCCAGCTGACTCCTGTACCTATGCACGTTCCCTGGTCGGTGTACTGAACTCTGTCCTTGAACTGATTCTATACAAACGCGTCAGACGATCCACCTTATCTCTGCAGAGGCCACTCAGACGTCAGGAGATCCAGCTTATCCTCTGCAGAGGCCAGCCACTTCGGCTGACCATCTACAACTACGCCATCCACGCCAGCCGATGCTCCATTGAGATGTCAGCCACGGATCACCGGCGCCGAACTTCACTGGACACCAGTAATGGTGTCATGCAAAGGCACGTGCTCAGTTCCGGACGATCGAGCTCCGGGTATGGAGCTCAACGGCTATCGTCGCTGGTCAATGCTGATCATGAATTACAAGCCGTCTGAGTCCCGGTGATTGCGACTGATTTGATCATCCCCACGAGGCATGCCGGGACCGCAGACACAGGAGCTGGGCTGGTCCCATCATCGGCAAACAGCGCTCAATCGGCCCAATCTGCTAGAGAGTCGACTGGTCGCGCCAATCAGCTACGATTACAGCAGCAGGGCCGGGTCGTTTATATACGCTCAGAAGCAGCAGCGTTTAAATTCCCTGTTGGAGCAGCGCACATGGGTGAAAATGCAGGCCAATAGAATGCGACAGAGGTCTTTGTGGATGGTTGTGAACGCGATCAATGCCTGGGAAGTCAGCGGCTGGTACCAGCCGAGGATTGATGCGCTTCTGGCAGGTAGTCTCCGCGCTGTGATGAAGTAGTCACCGCGTATGTAGTAGTCATGGCAGGTAGTCACCGCGCTGTGATGAAGTAGTCACCGCGCACATAGTAGTCATGGCAGGTAGTCACCGCGCGCCGTCCTTGCAGGTGATATGTTGATGTCTCGACATGCACCACAGGCACCAGCTCGGTTTTGTCGGATGCGGAGACGATTAAATTGCGGAACTAATAATGCGGACGGCATTCTTGCGAGCATGAGTCTTTACAACCGATGTTGCAAGGAAAGATTAGATTGCGGATTGCATTGCTCGCTTGCCGCTTTTTGTAAACCATCCTGGACTGAAATACCTTTAGCCTCTAATCTTTGGCGGAAGTGTCTCGCCTTGCCCTACTTGCCTTAGGCGGTGGAAAGTGAAGGGTCGAGAGCGATTTCCCACGCCCTATTGTGAGGTCAAAGTAAGCAATTTTGTCATTTCCACACAAGAGGTGGAATACATTTTTGTGAACTGACCTCCTGGAAGAACAGCTCCCACATCATTTGTGTGATGGCTAAATTGATATTCATTTGTTAAACATATAAAATTTTCAGACGCACAGTACTTTATATGACCCTTGTCATATTATTCTGAACACCGCACATTAAACAACATTTTGCTTTCATCAAAATATCCCTCCTCCAGTGTCTCTCTTCGGCACTTACCAAGTGACACGAATGGCGGCCTACAAACAGTAAGACGGCGCACAGGTGCAATCCACATGGCACAACACTCAGCTGCCAAGAATGTCATGTTCCAAAACACACCGCACCGGCATCCGCAGCGATTCTGGAGCTTTAACTTCTGGCCCATTGTTTTCATGCGCCGCCAGATGTTTGTGGTATACGTCGTGCGTCATTGGGGCTTTACGACGCACTCAGCTGCTGAGGCTGAGGCTATATGGCGTCGCCTGCCTCTCACCCTGACAAGAAGGGCGGGCACCGCGGGGAATCAAACCCCGTACCTCTGGTTTCCCACACGCGCAGAGGTTAATGCAGACGCGTTAACCACTACACTACCGGCATCCCTTTGTGGTATGCGTATGGAACATTTCAGTGACCTCTTTTCAGTCATTTCAGTGACCTCTTATCGACAGCACATTAACTGGTACGGCTGCATCTTGTAGAAACAGAACGAGAGTGAATTATCCATTATGCGCATGAAATCAAGATTTAACCTTTGAACAGAAAAAAGGCCTGGGACGGCCTGCACGTATTCCAGGAGTAAATCGGTACTTCTTGAAAAGTCATGAGTCACCAAGAGCATGGCCACGGGTAACCATGAGCAGGGCCTGATCCACATTTGCAGATGGGGGGTTAACAACATAGATGAGAAAAGCCCACATGTGACTATTGATGTGCTTTGGCTGCCCTTAATAATATGTTTTCCTCCTATGGGCCTTTTCACGTCATCGTTTGATTGCGTCATGAAACGTCCTTATGACGTCAAAGTCACTTCTGGAGTTACCGCATCAAAATTACAGCTGTAGCGGCCAGAGCGACATACTTGGACTTCTACGGGTTGCATGGTTCAGCTGATGATTTGTGGAAGTTGTTCAGTGCATTGTCGAAAAACATTATTCACATAGATAAGACAGTAGCAATAGTCTTATTCCTGGGAGAAACCAAAAGAATGGAGAAATAAATGGGTTGGTATTTCGGCAATATGCCCTTATTGAAGCAATAACACTTCTGTTATTGCTTCAATAAGGGCATGTTGCCGAACTATCAACCCATCCACTTCTCCATTCTCCTGTTTTTCTCTCCGGGGAACAAGGCTATTATTACTGTATTATCTATGATGATTTATGTGTTAGAACTCACCGAACGAGGAATTCAAAC